AAGTGCTTGCCAATCAGGTCTGTTAAAAAGTGACAGATGGGTGGTTATGGAATGTTCTCATAAGGCCTATTAGCACATTCGCAGGAAGCCTCTGCAGCAAGAGGGTGGGAGGCTCTGCTCCAGTAAGGCCTTCTCGAATCCAGAGCCCAGCCTTCACAACCCAGGCGCTGCGGAGCGTGGACACCAGCTTCTGGAAACATCTCCTGTCCTGTCCCCTCGTCACAGACATTCCAGGACAGCCTTCCGTAGAGGCAGGATCCCACACCCATGTAGGGAGAGGGCGTTTGTTGTTTTAAGCAAAGAAGGGTGCCCTGTGCACGCTCACTGTGACGTTTAAAACTTAGGCCGAATGTTCTGGAAGAGAATCACTACCACCTCCTTGGACGACGCCAAGTGCAGCCCTTTCGTCTCGTCCATCAACATATACATTCTTTTTAGTCGTAGCTCCGTGAATCAACAGATGGACTCTTCTTTGTCAGAGCTCTGTAAATCTTTTATTTCTTTAATAACACCTCCGCATGCTGGGAAAAAACAAAACAAAACAAAGCTGCCCAACACCAAACAACCCACTCTGAACACACGTGCGCCGCCTTCCAGAAGAAAGGGAGGCAGCTTTCCGGGGACTGTTGCTTCTTTCTGTAGCATTCTGGAGAGCTCTCTGCGTTACTGATCTGTGGCTTGGATTCGTGATTCGGCCCGTGAAACCGTGTGCAGGGGAAGGTCACTGCGGTCTGGGTGTCTGTGGACAGACCTCTGCACCTGCTGAGAACAGGTGCACCATGTCTGGGGTGGTCCGGAGCTCGGGGCTCGGATGTGCTGGAAATTTGGACCTGCTGTGTCCCAGTGCAGTGACATGGGCAAGTGTGTTCATGACCCTCTAATCCTCGGTGGCCCCCCGCGCCCTTGAAGCAGGACGCCTGTGCTTCCTTGAACTCTGGACATCAGTCCGTCCAGCGGTCTGACCGAGTTATTATCTAACGTTTCCCACTTCAGTTTTTCAAGTACAACAGAGTAATGAAGTGCAGGTTTTGTCCTTGGCATGATGTGAGGATAAACTGTGATAATTGCAAGGAGCGCTGTTAAAAACGAAACTGTGAAATAGGACCCTTGCTTATCGAATGCGATGCTCTTTTGAGAGGACAGTGGTTATAAAAAAAAATTATTGACCGAAAAGTCACTTTTCCCTAATTCCTTCTTCTTCAGGGAGGAAAAAAAAATCCAGACTCTTAGCCCAAGTTTCTGAGATTTCAGGAAATTCCTGGGACAAATATCACAGTTGGGTGAGAAATAGACAAGTTTTTCTTAGAGGTTTTAAGCGGCAAAATAAAATCAGTCAACTTTAAGGACACACAGGCAATACAGGTGAAAACATTTGGCTTCTACAGATTTGAGCCTGATATGGTTTCTGCTCTTAAATTCCATATTCAGTAAAGGTTCCCTTCCATAAAATTATGAAACACATGTGAAGTTCTTTTCAGTTTGAAAGGGAAACGGTCAGTCACTTTGGGGAAACTAGCCGATGCCTCATTCCGTTTTATTGAGACCAATACCTCATGCCTTGTCGAAAATGTTTTTCCTTTTGTGGCTTTATTTTCCGCTCAAACAGAAAGTGTTTTGCTCATTCAAATGAGACATTTTTAGACTTTTGTGATAAACTTCAATCTCCCGAAGGACGGACTATTATATTTTGAGAGCTGTTCACAAAATATTATTGCTGCTTTCTGGAATGATGTTTCTCTCTCTCTGGTGGTAGTGTTCCGAGCTGGATTGCTTGAACTTTACAAGTGGAATATATTTTATGCCGTAAGACATAAAAACTGCGTCTGAATCATGTAGGTTGCCATTTGAACTGGGCCCCGATCTCAAGCCCTCAATGAGCATTTGAACCTCGGGTGGGATTTGGGATAAACGGCCTCGTGGAATTCTTCCTATCGCTTTCACTGGATGCTGGGGCCATGTGCTTGGCCACATGTTTGATCGTGAACCCACAGTTGCCAAATTCTCAGCAACCCAACCGTGAAGATGCTGTCATGAGCTTACGTAATGTTTTCTTGGCTCAGAAGGTAAGGCCAAGGTCAAATTTCTCCATTGAAAAAATAAGGCGTTTAACTTAAGCTCCCCTGGGAACGTATCCAAAATATCAATTTGTGTTTGTCAATTTATACATGTATTCAGCCGTCCGCTCGGAAATAGTCAGTAGTAGCACCTCTCAGCGGAGCCAGGCCGAGTGCCTCTTGGGGCCTTATGGGAGCGTTTGGGGAGGTTGGGGAGGAAAGGAAGGAAGGAAGGGCTTTAGGGCACCCCTCCCATATTACGTGGGGTATCAGGGAAACCTCCTTTATTTTTTAAAGATTCACTTACTTATTTTAAGAGAGAGAGAGGGGAAGAGTGCGAGAGCCAGCAGGGGGCAGGGGCAGAGGACAAAAGGGAATCTCAAGCAGATCCTGCGCTGAGTGCAGAGCCCAACGAGGGGCTTGATCTCACGACCCTGAGGTCATGACCTGGGATGAAATCAAGAGTCAGATGCTCAATCGACTGAGCCATTTGGGCGTCCCAGGGAAACCTCCTTCAGACAGGTACTTCTGTTACCATTTCACTTTGTAATGCCGGTCCGGATGACTGGCAAAGACAAAAGCGAAGTCCTACTTCGGGAGATGACAAAAGAGCAGGAAGCCTTATAACTTGATTTTATTGGCAGAAAATATATAGACTATATAGTCCAAACCACAGTGCTTCAAATACTCCGGAAGAAGAAGCTGGATTTTCCCTAGGAATGAAGAAACCACCTTTCTGGAAATCACCGAGCAGATGGAGCCCTGACATCGACATCCTTGATACTCGGAACGTTCAAGGTGATGGTACATAATGGACCACACAGCATGTGATTTCACAGCCTGTGCAGACTTAGTGTGCTGAATTTTAGATGTTGAAGGTTCAAGAAAGGGGTATTCTGGAAGGCCCAGAGCACTTACAGACTGCCTTTAAATCAGCCATCTGCTCCATGGACCTTCTAAGGTGACTCCTGGATAGCTTTAGTTTTTTTTTTTTTTTAAAGATGTCATTTATTTATTTGACAGAGAGATCACAAGTAGACGGAGAGGCAGGCAGAGAGAGAGAGGGAAGCAGGCTTCCTGCCGAGCAGAGAGCCCGATGTGGGACTCGATCCCAGGACCCTGAGATCACGACCTGAGGCGAAGGCAGCGGCTTAACCCACTGAGCCACCCAGGCGCCCCAGCTTTAGTTTTTAAATGAGCACACAGAGCATGTAAATGCCACCATCCTGACCTGTGGCTGGCGAGACAGAGGAGCCCAGATCCACTGAAAAACAACAGGGCGCTCTATCCACCTGGGAAGACACGCTCGGCTGTCACCTCAGGATCCAGTGACCTTCTCTGCATAATTTAACTGTGGGAGTGGGAGAGCCAAAGGCTTCCTCCAAGGAAAGATCCTAATTTTGGACCTGGGTGGGTCCATACCATTAGAGGGGAAAATAAATGTTGTATTGGTTGAAAATATGACAAATCTTCGTATTTCCTGTAGAGCCATAATCTGGAGATTTTCTCTTGAAAACGCAGAGCACTCCCTGAGTATTTTTCACTTTTGTCTCTCCAATTCCCTTTGCAGAACTAAACATTAACCATTTGCTGTGATCCTTAGATCCAAGGCAAGCCTCCAAAACCGTATTCATAAATATATTGCTGAAGGACTGAACCACTTACCATTTTAACATATTTTTTCCCCCAGTAAACCGAGAGCAGTATTACAATAAAATACGTTGGCACTGTCATGAGATTTAAAGCCCAATGAATAATTCTGCATTTTTTTTTTTAACTGTAGGCCAACATATCCTGTCAGACAACAGGTTCCCCTTAGTCTGTGGGGCCACGGGGTAGGGCTGGGCTGGTGATCACGGAACACACGTGAGGAGGAAGTCCTTCCAGTTACATTCAAAGTGAAACAAACAAACAAAACCAAGGATAGTTATTTAGGGGGAAAAAAAAAAAGAAATGAGAAAAAAGGTATTTTCACAGTGACAGGGAAAAAAAAATCTGGCTTCTATTCCGTACCTTCAAGGTTTCATTTCATTGAGTCAGGGTGTCCTTTGTTAAAAACAAATGGCACTTGATTCTAACATCCAAAATTCTGTTCTTCTCCTGCCCTCGCTTCCCCCATCCTTCTGGAATCAAACAAGGGAAGTGCTCCCTCGCTGGCCCTCAGGGCAGGTGGACGGCACCTGTGTTCTGACAGACGGTGCGGGCCCCCTTCTCGAGCCCCGCGGAAGTTAGGGTCAGAGCCGGGAAGGTGATGCCTTAGGAGTGACTTTTCACTAATCATCGCACCTGGGTTACTACTGACGCAGCTCATTCTACAAAGAAATCCTCCATGAGCCAGCTTTCACATCCAGCCCCACTTTGATTTTCTCAAGAACAAAGATTATACGTGTGCATAAAAGCTGCTCGTGCACAGTTCTATCAACCGAGGGTACCAAAGTTTAAAAAAAAAAAAAGAAAGAAAGAAATGCGCCCTGCTAATTGTCTACGGCTATCAGGGGACCGCAAACTGTATCAAAGATAGGCCTGCAATCTTGGCTTTCATTATGGAGGTCAGAATATTTATTGACTGCTTCTTATTAAAATTTCAGCAGCACGTCAATCATTCTGGCTGCCCTGGATAGAAGGAATCTTGTTGGAAATTCCCCAGCAATCAATCCCATCAAAAAACAAAAATAGCAAAATAGCAAACAACTCCGGAGGTTATGACAGGCTTTGCAGCCCCTCGCCCCCCACCCTCCCGCCCTGGCTGGAGAGGTCCGAGGTGGAGGGCAGCTCCCCAGCCCTGGACTCTGATGGTCACACCGGAGTCCGAAGGCCGACAGGGCTGCTCGCGGCTCTCCTGCTCTCTGTTCTCTCTTTCTTCCCTGCTTGTCTTCTTAGCCCTCGGAAGCCGCCCAAGTCCAGCCAACAGCACGGTCCAAAGCAAAGGCACGCGTCACGACTTACCAGCCATCTGCTGAATGCCACTGAACGCACCCAGGTTGCTGGAGGAGGTGGCTTGCTGTAGAAGCTGCAAAGGGAGGGAGAAGCGGACCGTCAGACCAAAGCGCACACGGGAGGAGGAAGCTTCTGGAAGGGGTAGGGGGGAGCTGTCCAGCTTCCTGTGCGTTTATACAGTTGCCGGCTGCTTCCTATTCATGGGCCGTAAATCCATATTAATGTCTAATCTCTATTAAGAAACACAGACACTGGGGAAATTCAGTACCACTGCTGCCTTAAAACAATCCATTTGGTTTTTTTAACGACAGGTGTTACGTCCATTGAAACCAATGCGGCGTGACTAAGGCGGGCTCCCTGTAGCCTAGTGGTCGCCATGGCTCAGCTCCGTCAACCGAGGCCCATCCCTCGGTCTAACAGCTCAGCGGCCTTCATCCTCCACAGGGAGCACCTGGCTTCACGGACTCTTGGGCCAAGAGGGACATCACCACAATAACTACTCTCTCTCTCTCACACACACACACGCACCTGTGCACGGCTGCCCAGGGACACCTGGGACCACCTGAAGCTGGTCTTCACTGGCAGAGGGGGACATATGACTGGTCAGAATTTAGAAGTGTCTGGTGTGAGGTACAATGGCACTGGGCGTGACAGGTATGTCGGCTGCTTTTCAAAAACAAGTTTAAGATCGCTGTGTCTGCATCTTTCCCTGGTGCCCTTGAAAACACATCTCACCCCCCGAATCAGTGGGTAACCCAAGATAAAGGCATGTGGCTACTGTCCTCAAGTGCTCCTTTACTGGTCCAATTCAGCTGAATTATAGGCTAACTTGGGGGCCGTACTGTTGACCTAGATTTTTTGATACCCACTTTTTGGGAAGGTAGATCAAGACAGACATCGTGTACAGAGCAGCAAGCATCTAGTTATCCTTGCTCTGAAGTCCTCAGACACCGGGAGGCCCAGGTTCACCAGACTTGTTATTGAGAAATGTTATGATACTATGTGCTTAAGAGGACACGACCGATTTGTGATTCTACAAATAGCTTTGAGAATTTGTTTGGAGCATGGCAGAGCCACACAGAGAGTCACTCCTCTGGGTCACGGCAGCTGTTTTTGAGTTCAGTCGCAAGCGAAGTCTACAGCTGGGCAGGACTCAGAAATGGGCTCCATCCGGGCACTGAGAAGCACTAAGTGGAACGGAATCCAGTGGCCGATCTGGCCCGAGTCTCAGTTACCATGATGGTAAGGGGGTCAGCAGGGACAGGTACCAGAGGAACATCTGTGATGTTTACTCATCCCTCCTGACTTGTTGAAATGCACTGGATTACACACAGACTCAGACACACACACGGGGAACAGCGAGGAAGGAGGAGAAGTTAGGGATTAACCCTTTGCATGGACAGAAATCCCTTATTTTGATTTGATTTCATGGGTTTCCCATTCTCTGGTAGTTGTAAGCCCTTACTCCCTTTCCTACAAGGTATGTTTAAAAATTAAAGCGAGGTAAAATTAAATTAGCTTTGAAGCTGTTTTGAGGAATTAATAATACCTACTGAGGTATGTGGAAATATGTGGCCTTGAACTATATTATATATAGTTTGTATATATATACATATATAAAAAAATATATATAATACATATATATATATAATACATACATATATAAATATGTAGCCTTGAACTATATTACCCAGGATTCTGTCCACGGATGGCCATTCTCTGGTGGGCCAGAGTCAAAAACTACCCTTCAGCCCACAAGCCCACAAGCAGGGGATGCCTTAAAGGCCAAGGGCTCTTCCGAAGAAATGGGTCTTCCAACGGAAAGGGGCATAATGAACATGGTCGAGAACGAATGAAAGCCCACAGTAGGAGCAAACGTCATTCAGATCATAGAAAAATATGTTTTTATAAATGACGTTGAGATGAATTCTTCTTCAGGGTATGGAACAATTTGCAGCTGCGGTCAAAGAAACACATGCTAGAGACAAGTCGTCTCTGCTGTGGGGCGTGGGGGAGGGGCCGGAAGTTGGGGGACAGGCACAGGAGTCTGGGTTTTTAGAAATGGTGGAGCAGGAAGCTGGATTCTTAGAAATTATGAAAAGGTGAGCCTGACATCCATCTTGGACACCAATTCTGGTATCCACAAGAGATGGTCTATGAATAAGTGAAAAGCACAAGTTTGGGGAAAACAAATGACCGTTCAGCTCATAAGACATTAACAAGACTTTGTTTCATTACATCTCAGACAGAGAGACCAAGAAAACAATATGGCAGAGCAAATACGGGTTTTTTTTTTTTTTTTTTTAAGCAAGACCTCTGATGCAATCGCTCCCGGGGTCTCTGTGGCGAGGACTCAGAAATGGCTATAGGGCGACTGGAAAGTCCGTCAATGCTCTTACTAACGACACGAGCGAAGACGGGAGAAGCAGGCGCCGCCTTCGCTGAGCAAACGTGCACCAGGAGGTGTTAACAGCCAGATGCCCCGGGCGCGGCCCGGCAGGCGCAGAGAGGAACGTGAGCCACAGCACAGGGCAGGAATCCCCGCCCGCCAGCAGCTCGGGCTCGGTGAGGCTGCGAAAGCTCCTGGCGCCTCCTTCCCCGCCCGCACCGGCCGGCTCCTCCGACCTACCCTGTCCTTACAGGACAGCCCCCTGTAAACTACGCAGGCTAACGGACCCCGCGGTCCCGAGGGGGGCAGTTAAAGTGCCAAGTGGCAGAATCAGGACAGAACACGCACACACACACGCACGCGCCCCACACGGGCACACGGGACAGGCCAGGGCACCAGCCCCGAACTTGCGATGCGAATTTACAGTCGTCAGCGGGGGGGTCCAGCATGCGGGAGCCGAAGCAGGAGCGCGGGCTAGGGTACCATGGTTCGCGGGGCTCAACTAGAAACAAATAAAGACCTGGACCCCTGTGAGCTGCCTCCCGCCTCACGGGCGACGAGGTCAGCACGAGGGACCCTCCCGGGCTACGTGAGGATCCTGCGACGTCCATGGGGGGGGTCGCTGATCTGGGTGAGGTTTAGCTCTTGCCACGGGAACTGTATTTCCCAGCGACACACGGTATTTTACGGGGGTGGTTGAAAGAATTGGGTTTATCTGCCCTGAAATAGGATCTCATGTTTGGGTCCCAAACAGATGAAGAAACGTTTGATTTCGTCACTGCGGTTCCACAGGGAAGGGCCAGGACCACCGAATGGCAGGGCCGCGGGGACTTCGCTGGCGGTCCCAGCGTGGACTGTGCTCACCTCTCGGGCCACACCGGCCTCGGGGTCACTAGGCCGTCCTCAAGCGTGCCACCCCCTGTCGCACAAGACATTACGAGGTCTCGGAAACAGCGGTTAGAAACGTGGCCTCGTGGGCCTCGGCTCAGCCGACCTCAGGCCAGAAGGAGTCACGACCTGCTGCCACTCGAGTTAACTCGGATAACTACCGTGCACCAACGCTGATCTCAGTAATTTCCCCAGATTTGAAATGCCGCACACACGGAATTCTTTTGGGAACTTTGTAGTGTGTGTGTGTGTGTTGGGGGGGAGGGCAAGGCGCTTTGGGGAGGCCACAGCGGGGACGGCCCCCTCCGCCCTCTCGGGGACGCGGCCCTGACCCTGGCCGGGCACTTACCGCCAGGTACTGTGGGGTGAGTCCGCCCAGACCCGTCAGGTTCCCCCAGGTGGCAGTGTTGAGCTGTTGCATCTGCTGGGCCAGCTGCTGCTGGAGGCGCCTTTGCTCCTTGTCCTTCTGAGTGTCCGCGAACTTCACTACGATGGGCGAGGAGCAGCCCTGTGGTCAGACACAGCGGAAAGTGAAGAGGGGGGTTACCGCCTGGCTGAATCCTCCCGCGACACTCAGCACTGGACCTAGCTCTCTCAACTATCTTGGAGCACATGGAACCTTCTGGAAGGTTTTTAGTTTTTGTTTTTGAATGGCCTGATATTCCTTCTTCTTCTCTGACCAGTACCATCAACCGAAAATTCCAGATACTGCCACTGGTTTCTCGGGGGATCTGGCGGTCGGTGAAGCTATTCGCTTTCTTGCTGTGCTTATTACACTGCCTCTCCTCCTCTCTTCGCGTGTCTTCCTCCAACCTTCCCAGGACCTCCTCAGAGACAAGAGACCTTATCAATGTTCTTTAATTAAGCTTCATGGTTCGCTTGCCTGCAAGACAGACTTGCCTGTGTGTCTGCCTGTCCCCACGCGTGAGCGGGGGACAGAGAAGGAGAGATACTGCGGTGGGAAGGAACATGTCCCTCGTTCTCGTATTTATTTTTTCACTCTTTCCATTGTCGGGGCCGCTTTTTTGAACTTTGGAGCGCGGGAGTCCTCCCGACGCAGCACTACAGATGGGAGAGGAGGGTTTTGTTTTAGGAAACGTGGATGGGAGGCAGGAGAGATTGAGGACACAGGCCCGGCCCAGCGGCACAGGGAGGCCTCTCTCCCTTCTCGAATGTATCTACTCTATCCCCCTCACCCAGGGCTCCTGCAAACCGCCGGTCTCTGCAGCATAGTCTAGTGAAAGCAGCTGTATGGGACGTGGCTTCTCTCGTCAATGGAGCTCACCGTTCTAGGTGCTTCTTTTCAGTTTCTGTTCCCTTTAAAAGGCAGCGAGTAGGGGCAGTGGGGGAGTGCATGGCCAAGGGATACAGACTAGGACGAATTCATGTCCGAGATGGAGAAACTCATTAGGGAAACTAAGGGCCTGCGTCTCCAGCAGGAAGACCTCCCTGAGCTGCTCTGGAACATTCGCCCCTCAGCCAACATGCGGCAGAGACACGAGTTCCTCCCTTCCCCACCCTTCTCCCTCTTACTACGGCTTGCCTACACATCTCATCACCGTTAAAGCTGTTAAATTTTGCTGAGGTAAAAAGAAGTCATTCTACCTAGGTGATTAAAAAAAAAAACAACTTTTATTAAAACTCAGCATGATAATAGACCTCTCTCTCCCCTCTCAGAAATTTTATATTCCTACTTAAATGAGCTCTCTCTCTTTCTCTTTCCCTTCCCCTTGGGCCATTTTTCTTTCTCCTAGAGAACAAACCTGCATGTGTTTTTTTTCTTATCACCTTGAGTAGTTACTGGGGATGTAGCTGTGAATATGTGCGGCTACCGTGTCTGTTATGAGCAAAATTTAAAAAAAAATGTGCAAAAAACGAGGTGGCTGTTTCAGTTTGAACTTGCAGTGTCCCAGTCTTCAGCGCGTAGCCATGGCCACAGGACAGAATGTTAAATGTCAGTCAACCGCATGAAAATAATCTTTCCACCACTTAAAAAAAAAAAATCTATACTTCATTTTTCTTCTTCTGCTCCATATTTCAGCACTTCGTTGCTTTAGAGAGAGCAAAATACTCTGAAAATGGAAATTATACAGAGGGAGGGTTTTGTATGGAAAGGGCTGTTACTGTTGTATCTAATTTGTTCCATAAAAAATCATAGCATCTCCTCCTAAGAGTACCTTTACTGTTTTTTTTTCTTCCTTAAAAAAAAAAAAAAAAGATAAAGAAGCAAAATTTAGGTCCAAAATAACTTGTTTAAGCCGTAAATAGGGAAACTGGGATGGGCGCAGATTGGAGGAAAGTGGAAAAACAGAAAGTACGATATAAAAATTGTTTTAAAGAACATGTTCTTTTAAACTTTAACATTCAAATCATTTTGAATTTAAGTTTCTTAGATAATACATCTTGGTTAAAGATGTGAGCCAGAGTCCTGAAAATAACAAAATTAGTTAAAAAAAAAATCCAACAAACTTCGGTTGTACAACTATAATGTGACTGGCATACGATAAAGTCTTCCATTTAAATGTCAGTATTTTTTAAATTCAACGAGAAATTTCAATGTCTGAGGGTCCCTCTGTCTGAGCCTGGGTGTTCCAGATTTAAAAACAAGTTGCACCAAATTTGATTTTTTTTTTTTTTTTAATATTACAGATGTCAATACCAAAGGGTCAAGGATTTCCTAAGAATGAATTTGCTCCACTCTCTCCTGCAGATTCTTTTCATTCTGAGCCCTGTTCTTCTTTGGTTCTGGTTCATACCCAGGTCTGCGCTACGTTCCCGAGCTCTCTCCCTGCGGGAACACAGGAGAACACAGACCAGCATCCTCTGCAGCTTTACTTAGGGGACCCTGATGGAGGAACTGGGGTTAGAGCTGAAAGAATTTAGGTTAAAAAATCATCTAAGGTACCAATCACTAAATTACAGGAAATAAAAATGATTAAAGAGGCACATGTATGGAAGTTAATAAATACAGGTGAAAACTTTTTTTTTTTTTTTCCCTTCCCTAACCATACTCTTTGATCTCCAAACTGAAGGGTGGCTGGGATTCAGACTGATCCCAATAATGGAGCAGCCGGAGAGAAAGTGGGGGACAAACACAGCATCAAGTGTGACTGCACGTCGTACAAGACTGGATCCCTAGGTATTTCAAATCCTGCTAATTATCTCTTATTGTGGCCGATTTTCACCTGAGCTCGCCTTCAGGTAGGGGGGTGTGAGTGTCTTAAAAATGCATTGCACTGAAAGGAAAACACAGTGATTATATAAGATATGTTAGGAATATCAAAGTCAAAATGAAGCTCAAAATAGACAATAGGCTTTGCAATGCTGATATCAAAACTCAGAAAAGTACAGGAAACACTTAATGACAAGGCCATGCACACTCCTTGCCCCCCTCGTCCACCCACCTTCCGCCTCACTGTAAAAAAAGTTGCCCACAAAACATGACGTGGAATGATCACTTAGCTCCCAGCATGCTTTGGGAGATGCAGCATTGCAAAAAACGAACAAAACAAACAAATAAAAAATAAAGAAAAATAACCCCCCCCAAAGAAGGAGGTTAAAAAAAAAAAAAAAAAAAAGCGCAAACGATCCGTAAAGAAATTTTTGCACATTAAATAAAATTGAAAATATTTTGCTTTCCAGAAGATGAAAACGTAACTTCCGGTAACACCACAGGGCCACCTTGAGAAAAGATCACCCGTACACAGATATACAGAGTACAGAACATGCACTCCCAAATGATTCTACCAGACAGTACAGAGTAAGTCACAGCATATCACTCTTGGAATGCTTTTGTGCAAAATTCTGAAAGGCCAGACCCAAATCACAGACTAGAAGTACAGAGCCATCTATCTACGTGAGTGGGTGAAACACTCACATCGGCGTATCCATCTTCCCCCAAAGCCACTATCTCTCATTAGGACACCAGATTTGAGCCTTCATGTTTCTTTCATCGTGCATTTTTTTTTTGTTTTCCAAAAAGATGAATCTGATTTTTCAAGGGATTCTCATCCATTAACATTTTCACTGGTTAAACAATGTAGGAGAGGTATTAATTTTCTCCTGACATTCTTGATGCAAAAACACAATTCTGTTGGACTAAAGAGAACTTGAGCCCACACTGAAGGGAGGAAAAAAAAAAAAAAAGAAAGAAAAACAGAAAAAGGAAAAAAAAATTAAAAAGAGCCCTGTGACTGGCACAGGGTGGGCTGTAATTTGGAGGGATGGTGGCTAAGGCTGACTCTGTACCAACCCCGGACCAGGAACGGGCTGGGTCCTGGAGAGGTCAAGGAGGAGTCGTGGTTTACATCGCATCATGAATGCTGTGCGGCAGGGCCCAGGGCCACTGCAATAAAAGGCTCAAAAAATAATGTACAGCTGTGGAAGGTTCTACTAAATGCATTTCAAGTCATTAGGGGAAAAATTCAGAGAGCGAGAGAGAGAGAGAGCGAGAGAGAGAGTGAGAGAGCGAGAGAGAGAGAGAGAGAGAGGATGAAGATGAATGAATGAATGGAAGAGATGGTGGAAGTGTCCGTCTGTGATTGTCACTGAACAATCCGCACAGGAGAGAGCTGCTTTACCATTCCCCATCATTTGCACAAAGAAAACAAAGAAAGGGCAGATGATACAGTACCTCCATGGTCTGAGACTGATGCATGGCTTTGATTGCATTCTGTGCCATTGCCCTTGTAGAAAATGTGACAAACGCACAGCCTGTGGGAAACAAGGGGACAGGGAGCAGGAAAGACAAAAAACAACAAGACAAAAGGGTTGGACGCTTGTTAAACCAACACAGTCTACGAGAACTGCCACAGGACGCCACTGTTCTCAGTAGTACATAAAAATCAACAACTTCTCTCTTGGTTTTATCTTAGTTTGCTTTTGACTCACAGTGCTGACTTGCTAATCTGACCAAAGCAGAAAGATTTATTTATTGACTAGTTTATTTTTTAAAATGGAGACGAGGGGAATGTAGTTGGGCACTTTTTTTTTTTTTAAAGACACAGGGGGTCTGAAATTAGCAAGATCTAGTCTGCATTTTCTAAAATAAAAAGTTGCTATTTTACATTTTTCTCCTTGGCTGATCATCTTGACTCAGGGCATCCACACATTCGGGCTTTTGGATTTCAAATTCTAGCGTTGATTTTTTAAGCAGCAAGTAATAAAATCCTCGACACCAAGGGGCAAATTAGCAAATAAAATTCCAAAGGCTCGGAACGTCAGCAAATTAATACATCTGATCTCTTCTGGGTAGTTAAAACATATACATGTATACGCATACACTGATGTGATTCAGATGCAGAGAAATGTACCCCAGCCTGCAGGACCTGTTTAGTGATAATTACTTATGAACAAAAACAAATGCTCTGTTACTCTGAGAATAGTCGATAGTGCATACGAGGCGAAACTTTAAAACCTGCGTTGGATTTCTAAGTTGTAGAAAATCTTTAGGACTTTCCCAAGTTGTGGTTTTGGCTATGCATCCGGGATCTGACCTAAGGTTTAACATCCACCAGACAATGTACAGTTCTCTGAACGCTTCCGGTGAGACCCACTGAACTTTCCATGGCTCTTTATTTCTCGTGCTGTAAAATCACCAGAACCCACAGCGCCTGCCCCAGTGCCTGGTGGCAGGTGCTAGCCACCATGCAGGTCGCCGTTCCAACTACATGGCTCATTGCCCTTTTCACTAATAAAAACACTGTCTGCTGAAATTTACATTTTCTTCATCGTGCACCCTTGGGCTTCTTAGGGGAAAAGACTGTGAAATTAATGCAGATTCAGGCTGATTTTATAATAATACCATAGCACACTAAAAGCTTAGCTAAAGCAATGCAGACTTATTTCACTTATGATCTCTAATGACTTTAAAAGTGCATTGATTTTCAGCTTCTTTAGCTCTGCACAGTTTGAACTTAGGTATCAGAGAATAATTTAGTGTTCCACTCAATTTCTTCAAAACATTATTATTATTACTACTTAAAAGATTTCCAAATGAAGCAGATCTAAACACCGAGAGGCGGGAGCCTGTTGTCATCTCAGAGTGAATGCACGAAAGTGGGATACTGGCATCTGCAATGCAAGATTATTGCCCCTGTGGCCAGTAGGCCAAACAGAATGTTCTACATCCAAAAAAAAAAGAAAAAACCCAAACAAAAAACCCCCCAGCAGATTGTTTGATTTATGTAAATCAATTTGTGAGCCATAAAATATATTTTCTTCTTTTGCTCTGCCTGAGTACCTGGTGAGATTATCAAGTCAATACTGTATTAGCACCTTTTAATCAAACAGCAATAAGAGAAAGCAACACCTGCCCATTATCCCCAAAGCACAAAAACATCCAGTCATGAAAATAAGTCAATGCATTTTTTTTTTTTTTTTTTTTTGCATCATGCCGTAATTTTGAATACAACAAAACTCTGAGTACACGGGAGAGTCATCTCTCATTGACCTCCCAGTTACGCTGGCCTCAAGAAGCCTGAGGTCTAGCTTGCTATGAATGCCGAGTGGTTTCGTACATTCTCTGACATTATAGCAGCTAGTGAGGCTTACTATTTAGACACACTGCCTGCTCCTCCACTGGCTGTAGCTTCTGTCGTCAGGGAAAGCGATCTGGAGCCTTCTTTGAGGCATCTAGAAGGTGTGTGTAACAGCGTGCGACAGAGGACAGCACGTCTACGGGCTTCCATATTGTGACTCAGCTCTACAATCCGAGAGCCCCAAAGTTACCGTCCGTCTCCAAATAATACCCCTTCAAGAACATTGTGATTATCACCGACATCGTTAATGGAGGCGAGAACACTAAGATGTGTCTTCTTCCGTTTCTTGAGACCACAATGGAATTATTTGCTTTTGCAAATCCTCTAAGGGAAATATACCTGACATCATGTGAAGCCTGGCCTAACTCTGCTTTTAATAGTCAAGAAGGCTGTTTCATTCACTTTATTTGCTCTTATTATCCAGGAACATGTGCCGAACTGACAGTTTCTGAATGGAGGTTAAGAATGCATTAAAAAAAAAACACACATATAAAATGTCAACAGAAATCAATAAGGCACAGTTTATGCATTTACCACAATTTCAGAACAAACAGAACTTTTTCAGTAACTTAGTGAGAAAGATACAGCAATTAGCAGGTCTCAGAAGTATAAGCAATAGAACAATAAAATTCTGTCTCTATAAACTTGAACGACTGCTCTTTCCTCTCTGAAACTTGCAATTAAAAGCTCGAATTGATGTTTCTAATTACAGAACCCTTACTGCATCCCCCCCCCCCCAAAAAAATATCTCTGACACATCTGATGACTCCTTTAACCTTTTTACTCCTTTGGCAGTGGTGTAGGAAGAGAGAACCTGTCACGTCAGGGGCTCTGTCAAGTTCGGACTATGTACGGTGTTCAATTACTTCAGAGGGAAATGATTGTTGTTTGTAAAGGGAGTGCGCGTGTTGAAAATTTCCCTCCCTCTGCCATTCTGAACTTCCACAACTTCAGAACCCAATGTTTCATGGCTTGGTAGCTTGTTAACCTTTGTAATTTCTGCTCTAGTCCTCTGGTTAGATGTTAATTTTCTTTTCCCCATCACTGAAAACATGGTGGCGGCTTTAGGATTATGCCTCAGATCTGTAGCTTTTCACTAATATAGGGTCATCTGAGCTTCTTCCATGAAGACTGGCTGCCAGCTTCTCTGACCTTGTAGAGTCAGCCCTCCACTGTTCTAGACTAGTGGATGTCCTGTCTCAGTAGTCAGTTCTCTGGCTACTGACTAAAATGCAGGAGAAACTAGAATGGGGCAAAAAAGATCACATGTACCAAGATAATGAAGCTTTTTAAAAAAAATTTTGGGGGTTTTGTTTTGTTTTCCTTAGGAAAGGTAGTCTGTATATCATTGTCTTAAAGCCTCTCCATATACATAATAGCTGAAAAAAATAAAGGAAAAGTCTGTCCTTAACTGTGGCCAACCTGTCATTTACCTTACAATTATTTATTGTCTCTACTACTTTCAGAATGTCAGAGATTGCTCACAGAAATGAAAGGAACCGAACTCCTCCTAGTTCAGTGAGGTTGCCTTCTTGCTGCTAAAACAGATAAATGATTGACTGGAGAAAGGTTTCTCCAAGTAATTTCCTCCTACAGACGGGATCTAAGGAAAGCACGTGGCCCTGTCACAGAGAAGATTCTGGAACACATCTATTACACTTGTCATCTCAACCGAAAAGCTATCTTTGCTCAGGTGTTCTACCCTTTCTCTCAGCTGCAGGAGAATTTTGAGAGAACGAGATGAATTCTTGGTCTGCGCCAGAAAAAAACAGAGCGAGCGAGAGAGAGGGGGAAGGAAAGTAGGAAGGAAGGAACTTTTAAAAGCACGTCTAACGCCAGGGCCTCTTGCTTTTCTGCCTCTTCTTTGAAAGAGAAGCAGCAGCCTGCTAGATTTCAAATGAGGAGGATAATTTAAAATAACTTGGGCAGCGTGAAAGCACTTGCGGCCTAGGGAAGACTTGTTTATAAATTCCCGTTGTGCCAGAGAAAGTTCTTAATGCAGCCAATTTTCCTTGTTGTATCTTTTTAGCAGTGGCAGAATTTATTAAACGTACCTATCACTACCACGCGAGAGCTTCCCAACTACCGCGTGGATGGGCCATCCCCAGGGTTGGGTTAGTTCACTTGGAACTGGCGGGGAGAGACAGCTGATCCGTGCTGCCCGAGGCTGAGTGTGGAGGAGGACTTACTGCTTTGCAGAAATCTCACCCCTGTGAGGAGCTTCAGAGACTGTCCTCAGAACGACAAAATACAGTTAGTAACCCCAGGGTATTTGATACGCGTTTCCACGTCTGTTTAGATGCTGAGCGGGCACGCCTAAGACATCCTGATCAAAACCGAGTCCGCTCCAGGTACGTATTTCCAAAGTCAAAAGCCCTGTCCTAATATTCTGATCAGATACAATGGAAACAAATGAGGATTTAAGGGCTAAAGCCAGTCTGGGCTTGCCAACATCCCCGAAAATATTGCCAATTTCATTTGTCAAGGGTTTTGGCAGGAGGACGTTGGAACACTGTAAACACAGCTGGAATATTCTTAAACAAGCAGAAAGTTACCTTACATGGCAGTGCAGATCTGACTACACTTCACAGGGACAGGAAAAGGAGAGAAACTCTTTTCTGGTCTCCGAGTTACGGAGAGTCGTTGCCAGAGTGCAGAAGGCGAGCCGTGTAGACTATACCCGGACGGGCTATGCTGACTGTGGGGTTACGGGTACGTGAGAACATGTGCATCTTAGGAAACCAACAGGCGGAGGGGACGCTGATAAATAAATGCACCGGCGGAGAAGACTTCCAGCCTAGATTTTGAGAGCAGATGCCCCATCTGACTTCCTGTGCATAGGCTCGTGGCATCCTGCTCGCTTTCTCCAAGAAGGTCCATTTGGCAGGCCTGGGAGGCCCGCCTGCTGTTGCAGAAGGAGCTGAGTATTATGAAGGGGCTGGAAAGCACCTCAAACCAGGTTTTCCAAATGAGAAAAGATGGCAGAATGGGTTACTGGCCCCAGAGGGGAAAACCCATGCTTAGCTGCGGGCACATTGCGTAAAGAGAGTCAGACTCCTGATGCTCGCTGAGCGCTGGTTTCAACGTGCTTGGTAGATGCCAGCTGCTGGTCTGCGTGCAGCCATGACAATTCCTAGGGAGGGGTGGGCGGGGGGGGGGTCTGATCTGGAACCTGGCACAAATCGGGGACTGCAGAGTCCTGATGGACTTTACAAATGCTCTTTCTTGCCAATATGGAGATGACAATTTTTGTTTTAAAGACGGTGATTCTAAGCCAAAGTCCAGAGCTGTGGGTGCTGACAGCCCACTACCTGCATCAGTGGGGCAGCCCCGATCCTATAAGCCTGGGCAAACCTCGGCTTCGCAGCCTGCAGGGAGGAAGGGAAGCCATGGAGGTGGCAGAGAAGACAGGACAGGAGACACGTGGTGGAGAAAGCCAAGAACCGCCTCTTTTGTCTTCATTCTTGTAGCGGAACCAGGTAGGAGTGAAGCCAGGAAAGTGAACCACTTCTCTGGACCTCTCCCTCGTGACCAAATGGTGTGAGTGCAAAACCTTTTTCCGGACTAGCTCATACTCAGTTTAGCATTAGAAGGTGCTTTCCAGAGCAGCTCACCTTTCCTTTCACTTAGTTTTTATTTATTTATTTGTGTCTCAAACAGCTGAGCTACCAACAGGCAGGGAGACGGGAAATGCTGAGCACCCTTTATCTGCAGAGCCACTAATGGAAGACCCTCATTAATATTTGATTGAGAACTGCAATTCTTTAATGAAAGCAAAATAGTGGCACAAAAGAGAATTGTTCTTTTCACAAATACACGGATTCAGGAGCCTCCCCTGTACCCGGGAGTCCCTGCTTGAAAAACTGAACACTGTCCAGCCTTGTATTTCAGAACAAGTGGTTATAAATGAGTATTTCCTTTTTTGCCATAGGGAATTCTCATCCGGTCCCCAGAAATTACTTTTCTGTGAAGAAGGAGGAGGAGGAGGAGGAAAAAAAAAAAAGGCAGGGAGGAGGAGTCTACTCTTTACACCGAGCCATCATCTGCATAAAATGCGGGTGAGAACGCTCCCAAAACGCCCGCGGACATCGGCCGCTCTGGCGCCCCCGTGTCCGCGGCCGCGTCTTGCTCTCCCCTGCGGGCCGGGCGCCTGGCAGATCTCATCCTCGGAGGTAACGCCGTCGGCTCAAGCAGCTGAAGATGCTCCTTGTTACTGTCTCCCCTGGACAGTCGGGGAAAGTGTCCGGGGGCCCCGGGCCCGCAGAGGCAGAGCAGGAGCCGAGGTCTCTCTTAAGTCAAGCCCTGGGATGGGAGCGGGGCAGCTACGGTGACTGGTGCCATTCACAAAGGGGCAAACTGAGGCACAGAGCTAGGATGAGGAACTCGGAAGGCCTGGAACTGGATCTCGGGGTCACTGACCTCTGGGCCCTATACCATGATTAAGTGAAGGGCCTTCCTTTCTGTTCTATCTCCGTGCTACATGCCTTGGGGAATGCGAAACTGCCCAGATGGGCGTGTGGCTGAGAATAGGGGGAGAGAAGAGGGGTTCGGACTGCTGCGTTGGCAGTGGGACAGGGTTTGCAAAGACAGGATCACATGTCTCCTCTGTGTTTTCTTTTTCGGCTAGCCTCACTGCCTTTTCCCATGGGGTTCTCCTCCACCCCGGGTTGGTCCCCTTGAGTGGGTGGGTATCTCTCACAACTGCTGGCAGAGTTAGAGGACCCCAGGCGACAGAAGGGCTCTTGGGGAGCGGGTGTGCCAGAGTGGAGATCCCAGCCTCCTCCTATGCCCCTGGGGCTGTGTGGCCATGGGCCTGGGGTGCTGCCGTGGGGGACGCCAGTGACCGTATGGGTGGCGAGCCACGGCTTAGGGTCTGCAGGCTAGGGTCCCACTCAGGACCCATCTGGGGCGGCTGTGGGAGAGGCCCGTGTTTGCAGGGAGGCAGAATGACAACATTTGCAACTCTCGGGGAAAGCTCCAGCTGTCACTCCCCTGCCTCCTTCCTTTTAAAACCACCTTCGGAAGAAAACATGAGCACCACAAGCTGGAAGCTATTCCGCCTCCTTCTCCTGTTCCCTCGACTACCTCCATGCGGGGCTCTGGAGGTGGGTGTAGGCGGGAAACCTTTGTTCCCTGTGTCTTCCCCTCTAGCAGCTGACATCGTGAAGTTTCGTGTCTCAAAGTCAAAAGAACAAATGTTCTTCCCCACATGGTGCTGCGTTTAGCTAAAAGGAGGGAGATGGGTGAAAATCAGTGCTTTGAGATGTAAGGCCCGACCTTTCCTCCCAGCACCGGGAATGAGATGGCAGTGCTGGCCCAGAACCGGAGCCTGGGAATGACAAGAAGTTTCTAATCAGCCCCGCGGAAACTGCATCAGTGAGCACATTATTAGAATGAGATCCTCTCTGTGTTACAAACATGGGGATTTCTTAGAAGAGGTGAAAAATACGTTGTATGCATACACTCTGACTGTAGCCTCCTGGGCCGTCTCAGGAAACACAGTCTGATGGGGGGTGGGCGCCAGTGACAGCGCTTCTGAGTGGTTTAGGAAGGGTCTGTGTGGCGCTGTCCGAGAAGAGGAAAACACGGAGAGAGAACAGTTCTTTCCAGTTCCCTTGGAGAGCTGCTTGTGAAACTGCTGGTTTCCGTCAGTGCTCGAAGCCACCGCCTCTGCTCCTGTCACGGTGACAGAGCTGAGCCTACAATCTCTTGGACCAAGTCACCTCTCTGCCACTTCATGAACTTCCCCCGATCGGGCCTCCAGGAGTTGTGATCTTGAAAATAAAACCCTGATAGCCCGAGACAAGCCCAGCTCTTCGGAGCCCCTACCTGCTCTGCACTACACGGAAACACCGATGTTCTCCCTTGGTTTCTATCGCTGTCAAGAGACCCATCCACTTCACGTTTCTCCTGGGCACAGGCAGGAAGCCAGAGACTGAGATGAAAACAACCCGTGTTCTCTTTCCTCCTCCACATCTCTCCCTCACCCCCAAAACGTACTTCAGTTTGAGGTCGGAAGGGCTGTACAACGACAGGGCGGCTCATCGGCTTCCCCGCTGGCCGGGAGAGCCTGAGACAACGCGCTGGCTTCCAGACCTTCTCGACCTGAGAGATACAAGGCGATCCCTTCCGCTACGGTGAAAAGCTCACGGTGGATAACTCGACCGCAGGGGACACGTTACAGGGTAACCTCTTGCTGCGTGCGGTGGCTACGTCTACCTTGACTGTGACACAGAGTTCCAATTAGCACTTAAGGGGAGAGACTTGATAGACGGCCCACTCACCTCGACTCAGCCCATCGGGTCCCCGGAGAATCCGGCATTCTTCTATCTGGCCAAATGGAGAAAACATCACCCTGATATCATTCTCATTACATTTCTTCGAAACCATTCCTATGAACAATTTTCGGTCTTCCACGGCTAGGAGATAAAAATAATGAATGAGCAAAGGCCATTTTGATCCCTTTTCTTGTAATCAATGCCTCATTACTGCACCAAGCCCGGGGGCCCCGGTCATGTGAGAGGAAGCGGCGCTCCAAGGCCAGCCCTTCCGACTTCCAGGCCTGCTTCCTTCTCCACAGCCAAAGCCCCCACCCCACTCTGCCACCCAGCCCTTCCCAGACACTGCTTTCCTCTGTGAGCTCGTCCTTACCCAGACGACACCTTCAGAGGACACCAGATGCTGTGAAGTCCCACCCCCCGCCCCACCCTGTTGGGAAACTCGCAGAGCTTATGGACGGGTTAAGCCCCACGCGCTGGCCCAAGGCTACCGTGACTGAGACATACATCGGAATGTGCCTTCGAATTTTTCTGTAGGTGTTCTTTTAACTTGAATGACCGAGAAAGAAAAACGGTCAGGGAAAGAAAAATAGGAAAAACAGAGGAAGCATGATAGAAAACACAACTTTTAAAGATTTTATTTATTTATTTGACAGATAGAGATCACAAGTAGGCAGAGAGGCAGGCAGAGAGAGAGGAGGAAGCAGGCTCCCCACTGAGCAGAGAGCCCGATGCGGGGCTCGATCCCAGGACCCTGGGATCATGATCTGAGCCGAAGGCAGAGGCTTTAACCCACTGAGCCACCCCGGCGCCCCAGGAAACACAACTTTTAATAAGGCACTTGTTGGAAAAAACCTTCTTCCCCAATTTCAAATAGCTTGGTCCCGTGGATCCAGACAATAAGGAGAGGTAAGGGAGATGCTCCTCTCTCTGGAGAGCCAGTAAATGACCTGCCATCGGTCTGTCTGTCCGTCCGTCCGTCACGCTGGCTATGCAGCTCTAACCAGAACAAGGCATGGTCTGCATTTCTGACTGAAGAGCAAAGCCGCTGTAGGGAGAGAACGGGACTGTGGCCACTGGAGAATCCCATCGGGGTGGTGCCATGCTCGGGCTGGAACCCAGAACAGAAAAGAGCAAGGAGGGAACCGTAACTGTTCTTGGCAACCGGAGACGGGACTCTCGATGACCAGAAATGAGTTCAGGTGTCTTGACAACCACACGCCAATTCTAACCTTGGAAATGGCCACGAGGGTAAGACTGGGAAAGGTTTGCCTCTGATGACTTGGGAGATTTTCCTCAAAATCTACAAGCTTGCGCTCAGGATAAGAAGCCTACATTGAGCCTCAAAGGCTCAATTATCACTGATTTCAGGACAGTGTTTGCAGCCTTTTTTAGGAAAGAGCAAAAAAAAAAAAAAAAAAGAGAGAGAGAGAGAGAGAGAGAGAGAAAGAAAAAACCCCGTTCCAGACGTCCACGGAGAGGAGTCTTGCATTTTAATCCATTTCTTAGAACAGCAAGCAAGGGCAGCCGGCCAGACAGCACCTCACACCGGCCGGCTCGGGAAGGGCCCTGCCGTCCACCGCTGTGTGCAAACCCTTCTGCTGCATCGTCATCTCACTTTTGCTTTCTAATGGGCTCTCATCTCTGTCTCCCTTACGCTTGCCCTGGACAGTCAGTGTCTCCTTTTCATTTAAACAACAAGAATGCATTTTAGACTTTGTAGGGTGAGGTGCTCTTGGTGCACGAGTCCAGCTGGCTGGGTTGGGGTGGGATCGGTCGGGGAAGCAAGGATGGGACCTGGGGAGGTGCCCTCTGGAGCGGCGCCGTCCAGGAGGGGAACCGATCAGTCTGTGACGTCCACTGCAGTAGCTGAAGCCTCGCGTGGCTCCTGAGCCCTTGAAACGTGGCCAGCCGTGTGACTGCGAAACTGCATAGTTACTGTGATTTAACTGCAACTAATTTAAATTTAAAAAGCCACAGGTGACCTTCTAGAGGACAGTGCAGCTCTGAGAGGCCCCTCCCCGTACAGCCACTGGAAGGGAGAGATTTGAAAGAGGTTTTGTGTTCTTCTAAAAGACACCCCCCCCAACCCCGTGGGACAGGGAAGGAACTTGCCTGGGGTCACTCAGCAAGGGGGGGTCCTAGCCTGGACCACACCTGCTGTCCCACATCTGGCTCCAGTCCTGTCTCCTGTGACGTTTCCTAGGAGAGCAGAGGAGGGAGAGGACACCTCCAGTGGACAGCAGGGCCGGGTCAGGAGACCTGCCTGGTCCCAGCCCTGCCACCTAGTTGATGTGTGACCCTGGGGAGTGAGAGGACTTCTGCGGACCTTGGTCTTGTCACCCACAAAATGGGTTTAAATTCTTCTCTTTCCTTGATGTCCTTCTTAAGGAGCAAAGAGAGGGGGGTCCCGCTACATGGCTGGGGTGACTGAAGTACTTGGGGGTGGGGCAGAAATGCTGAAGCCCAGAATCCCACCGGCCAGCCTCACGCTGCCCTCAGGCAGCTCCTGAGTCAGCGCAGAGAAACGCGGGGCTCTGAGGAACCCGGGCGGAAGCTGCGACGCCGTAGCGCATGAGTTACGGATGAGTGCGCCAAGAGCTGGAGAAAGGCTTGGCAGACGGAAGATGCGGCATCTAAGCTGGACTTCAAGGAGCAAGGGCGAGACTGGGAGATGCCTGGGGGCAGCACACGGTGGGGTGGACAGAGGAAAGCAGCCAGGCTTCGGCACCACAGGCATCATTTCCTGCTGCTCCTGTCGAGAGGGGCTTAAGGTGGAAGGACAGGAACACCCTGGGTTAAGCCTCATCAGAGTGGATGTGGGCAATGGCGTCATTGGCTCTGAGTCATCGGGGGAAGCTGGTGAGGACCTGGCTTCCTCCCTTAGATGAACAATCTTACATTTAAGCTCTTTTCTCGCCCATCAGTTTAGGTGAGCTACCAGAGATCTACGGAAAAGTGGTGGAAGGAAGCATCTGTGCTCACCAACACTGGGACCACCAGGGTGACTCAGTGGCCCAGAGGGAACACAGCATCCCCCCGATGGGAAGGAATGGACTGAACATGGTAGAGCAGGGAGCGGCAAACTTCGAGTTGCAGTCGTGACCTCTCCCTGTGCCCCTCACCATCCCTGGGGCTTTTAGGGGAGGAAGCTGTGGCTGTGAGAGTGGAAAAAAAAGATTCTCTTGAATTTCTTCTTATCCTGAAGGATCCCATTTTGGTTCTTTCAAACAGAAGCAAATGATAAATTCCCAGGGAGTCCTTGGTTTCATTGGGAAACCTATCATGATGGCACGGGGCTCCAGCGGATGCTGGCGGAAGCTCAATGAGCAGCTCCCGAGTAAACAAAAGAATGATTTTTTCCTAAGATGGGTAGTAAGAACTGGAAACCACCTGCCAACAAACCCTGGCTTCCGAGGCATCCCACTGGCTAACCCCAGGTCGGGAGATGAAAGAGAACGCTCTTTTCATTACCAAACTGTCGCTAAGGAAATAGAACGGAAACCTACACCATCCAGACGCTCTCCGAAATGCTGATGCCCTCCCGTGTGTGCGCCCCGTCAGGGAAGTTGGATGTTTGCAATCCCTCGATCGCCCTAGTCCCCCGTGGTCCTGACAGCTGGGACCCCATGTGCTTTAAAGGGCAAATGCAGAGAACGGCTCACTCCCTGCTTACTTCCCCCTCGAATTTTCCCGGTGAAAACTTTTCTGTAGAACTTATTCCTGGCATTCCCAGCCTGAGGATCCCTAAGCGACTTTGTTGGCATTTTAAACAAACATAATTATCCTGCGTTCACTGAACTTCCCATTGATTTTTGATGAATTTCTTGGGGGGGTTTATTCCTCAGTGTCCATAGGCAGACAGCGGCTCACTTTGGTTTCCAGTCCACGGGAATGTGGATTGCTTAAAGGAACCTACTGTGTCTATAGTATTGTGTTAAATGCTTTACGGGAATTAAAAAAAAAAAAAAAAGGAAGGAAAGACTAGGTCCCTGCCTGCAAGGGAAAAATCTACTTTCTTTCAGGATACCTGACAACTGGCCGACGGATGATGCCTTTCACACCGTGCGCCGTACAGGTGGGCTGACACTATCACCCGTTACAACGGGACTGGGAGCTATCCCATAACCAGCGACCATTTCAAGTTGTCCTCCCGTGGTGTGGGAAAGGGTTAACATTTTAAGTTTTAAGTGGGGACTTTTCTAAGTTCGGGAAATAGAAACTTCGTTTCTGAAAAACCCCTAATTGTGAGTCTGTGCGAATACCCTGGTGTACAATCTGTCAAAGTCACACCTGGATTCAGGGCGGCCTGAATTAATTAACAACTTTTCAATGTGTTAGTGCTAACATATGGCATTTAATTACTGCCTCCAAATCCGTGAGTCTCTCCACTTTGAATTTCAAAATTATTTCTTTCTCTTCCAGTGCCTCCGAAAGTGAGAGAATGGGGATGCCCATGAATCCCATCTTTGGCGGAGGGTTGCAGGCCTCCGAGCTCCCCGACCATGTTCCATCATCTGGACCCACGAGCTCCAAACTCAGGGCACGGACACCAGGGGTCTGGGAGGCCTTGGGAAGAAAGGGCTTACTTAGCATTTCTGGACATGGGGCTCCAAGCAATGCCGACAAGCTGTGAGGTTGGAGGGCTAAGCAGGGGCATTTATGCTCTGTCTACAGAGTCAACTAAAGCAAAGTAGAGCAAAACAAAACAAAAACACCAACTCTCTCAAGCAGGGACACGACCCAAGAGTGAACACTGGTTCATACTGGCTGGTTGCTGAGACCCCCAGGCCCAGAACCGAAGGTGACCTCTACGGTTTTCTTAGCGCTTACTGCTAGACCGACTTCAGATCCGGCAAGTGACTTTACTTTTCCATCTTGCACAGCAGGTACCTTTTTCTGCACAGCAAACAAAGCTGGAAAAGAGGCCTCCCATGGCACATAGAATGAAAGATGGTGACCCTGTCTGCACTAGGGTATGTTGCCATCTGGAACCCATGCCTCCTCAAGCCTCTGGCTTTGCCGCTACCGAGTGTATGCGGTGTAAGGATGGTAAGACAACTTGGAATCTGAACGTTGGGTATTTACTCACTGTGTTCTTCCTAAAGACCCCAGCATTTTATTGCTGACCCAGAATGGGATTTTTTTTTTCTTTGAACACCTGCCACAGTTAGAAGCACCAGGGCAGAAGTAAAATGCTGTGAGTTTGCAGAAAGATGCTAGAGGCTGCAGCTTAAATCAGAGCCAATTATGAGGGTAGGCTCTAGGAGGCCTGGAGGTCTGGAAAGCCCATGCAGGAAAATCCTGAAGGGCACGACAGATCCGGGAGCAGCCCAGCGGGTCTGGGCTCGCCATGGCGGTTCCCTTTGTCAGAATCTCTAGATGGACAAAAGGGCTTCCAAGAGTGATTGCTTTCTGGAATTCATCTGTCCATCACTAATTAATCCGTGATTAGCAGCCCTTTCTTGCTCAGCAAATACAAAGTTTCCGAGAGCCGAACATACCGATAATGAAGATGGTAACTGTCTAACTGTGATGAGTCCTTTGTGCTATCCATAAATGTCAGCAAACTCAATAAAGGTGCAATTAGAGCTCGTTATCTCCCTTTCACAACTCCAGGAGCTACCGAGAGCATCTGAGCCAAAGAAATCTTTGTGCTCTCTGAGCTTTGGAAACTACACTTACCTGTCAAAACTGCCATGTGAAATCAGAGAGGACGTGCGCCTTTTAATACTTGCTTTAGAAAATGATACGATGCTCCTGATTCCTCGGCCAGGTCCGAGGAGAACCCTGAAGCCTGCTCAGTTTTCACAATGCTCGGCATAGGCTTTGCACCTCCATGAAGAAAAATGCTCTAAAGGGCGCTTTCCGTCCGCTGATACTTTTTGACCCTGCCCCCCCACCGAAACGCAGAACGTGAAGGTCACTCCGCAAAGCAAAGGAAGATCCGGCCCAACGAGACGGTTTGCGGAGGTGGTTTTTCCCTTCGTGTGTACAGAGCTATGCCTTACTATGAAAGGGAGCCTTGACTGCTCAAAATGCAGGAACACAGCTGCCTCAACCAGCCACACGTGCGTGGACGACCCGGCAGAGTGGACATTTACTAAGTGCCGGGTATCACGTGAAGCTCTTTGCAGATGTCAACTCATGTGCTCCCAGAGCCACCCTGCAAGGTGGGCGTTACACGAATTCAGACTGTGGACCACGCAACCCCTCTCACAGCTGGAGTTACGGGCGCTGGGCGAGGTCACAGGACCTGCCCAAGGACCCAGCTAACATGTGCAGGGTCAGGGGTCAAGTCTGGGCTCCTCAAAATAGCTTTTCCCGGCTACCCTGAGCTGCTTCCTGGACAACGGTGGTTTTTTTTTTTTTCTTTTAAAGATTTTATTTATTTATTTGACAGAGATCACAAGTAGGCAGAAAGGCAGGCAGAGAGAGAGGGGGAAGCAGGCTCCCCACTGAGCAGAGAGCCCGATGTGGGGCTGGATCCCAGGACCCTGAGATCACGACCTGAGCTGAAGGCAGGGGCTTTAACCCACTAAGCCACTCAGGTGCCCCAACAATGGTGTTTTTAGGTAACTTCGTGTCTTAGTGAAACAGTGTTTAATCCTGCTTGACTTCTGAGATTGTGCAAAATGGCTGGCTGACAGCAGTCCTACTCTGTTGCTGTGGTTCTGGACCCGGAGCGGATATCGGCCTCAGCATCCAGAGCCGACACTGGGAACAAGGTGCGACCTCCAGGCAGCTAGCCTAGAGAATGGATTCTCCGAGTCAGGCGTTGTATCCATAGAGCAGCAAATGCAGAAGAAGAAACCCTTTCATGGTCCTACCACCTGGGTATGTCAGGTCAAATGTTTCCAGTGGTGTTCTCCCATTCATCCTGCTTTTATAACGGTGACGTAAGGTTCAGAAATAAGACAAAGCTTCCTTCATGGCCCTTGTCCCAAGACAGGCTAGAGAATTCAGGGTCCAAAGGAAAGGGAGCATTTCTTAGGGGCCAGAAGCTCCCAGATGACCTTCAGACAGGGTTCATCCCCCAAATATACAACGCCTCTCTCCCAGGAGGAACAGAATGGACTGTAAATGTGTACTTCTGGGGTAAAAGGCTCAGGAGTCAGCAACCTGGCCTTCCACCTATCGACTCTCTCAGTGCAGAGCCCTAAGAGGCCAGAGAAAAATCTGGGAGGTAACAATAACCCTCATTTTATAGAAGTGGTGGTCTACCATTTGCAAAACACTGTTGTATCTTACGTGAGTCTTTAAATTTAAAAAAAAAGCTAATCTATGGAGGTAGCGACCATCACTCCCATTCATGAACTAGGAGATCCAAGTTCAGTTGTTAAATGACCATCAGATCAGCAGACTCAATGTCAGTAAATTCTGTGGGGTCAGGACAGTGTCTTTGTAGTCCTTTCCCTTATTCTGCTTCAGACCTGGGGCCATAGCCCAGCCAAGCACCAGGCAACAGGCCTGGGGCACGGGAAGTCATCACGGGGTAACTGCTGAATTCTGGATGCAGGGTTTGGGGTACATAGTACAGGAAGGAGGGAGCAGACTGTCAGAGGTGCGGTGGTGGCAAAGATGGGGTAGGGGTGGGAGGCGGGCACCCAAGTCTAGTCCCTGACAGACCAACGGGGGGCTGGTGGCACCACGCTATGACTTGGAATTTTCTTCCCAACTTCCTAGTCTGTGAAGAAGTCAGAAAATGGGACGCTCTACAATTAGCGAAAAGTACCTTGTGGAGAGAGTTAGACCCCAATCATAATTTACATTTGCAGATATGCAGATCTCTGAGTGCATGGCTTCTGCCCTGATTACTAATTAATGAGCTGCAAACCTGCCTGTGGGAGCAAACAGTGCTGATTATGTCAGTCTTGGGGGACGGAGACGTGCCGCGGTCTGAGAAGGTAGAAGATTCCTTTAACACACACTTTAGTATATTCAAAGAACAAAATGGGGACAGAAGACGGGTATAGATGGAAGCAGCAAGTTGGGGGAGACAAATGTGGCTGTTGGCCCTTCCGCGTCGTGGAGAGGTAAGTCTCAATGATTTCACAGATTGTGTCCCATGCATATTTTAGCACTGAGCATCCGTTTATGTAATCAGCTGGCTGAATTCTGAATGAATTCGGATGCAAATGCATCGGTGCATCTTAGAGGTGAGTGCCAGGGAGGAACACACCAGAGGAGGAGAAAAGAGAGCGGGGTTCCTGGTGGGCGAGCCCTTTTCCACTCCTCTGCTCTGCACACCCTGAGATCCTTCCTCCCCATCGGGGTTCCTGGGCTGCATGGTCTGTGGGAGGGGGACCAACTAGAGACAAAGACCACTGAGTCACCACACAAAGCAAGCCCTGAACAGAGGGGCACAGAAAACCATTTCCCGTAACGTCTTTACACATCTCGACACCAGAGACCTACGAGGTGGGAGAGCGAACTTCTCTAGCCTCCAGGTGCAGGGCAAATCCCGGGAGCAGGTGCCCTGCCTCTCCCGGAGCGGAGGCACGTGAGGCCGGCTCCTCCCTCCCCCGCGGACTTCCTCATTGACACAGACAGACAGCAGTACACGAGACAGTCACCACCTACCGTTCGACTTTTCACTATCTGCAGGTTTCATCTGGATGGGATGGTGCATCTAAAAACACAAAAACGAGACAGTAAAGGCAGGTTGAACAACTGCGTGCAGGTCTCAGAAACCCCGCACTCGCACGCTCGAGACCACGTCCTGCTCCGAGGACACATCAGTAATAACAGGATCTCTCTCTGTCAAATGTAACCCCACGAAAATGCAGCCTGCCGCGGCATTGGGGAACAGAACCCTTTGCATCACTGGGCCCCACGGCACAGGACTGGGCTTTGCAGCTGGACCTGAGCTTGCAACCCGGTTCTGACACTCAGCAGAGTTTCTGCCTACATCGGGCAGGCAGGTTTGGCTCCGCCGTTCATCATCACCGCCACGTGAACTTGGGCGAGTGTCCTAACTTCCCTGAGACTCAGTTTCCTTATAGTGCAACAGAGGTGACACCAGCATGGTGGGAACGAAATGAGCAAAAGGCACGTAAAGGGGGTGTCGTGAACAGCGCACAGGACACGCTGAGAGAAGTGAGCTACTGTTACTCCGTAGTATGTCACACATTTCAGTGCAGATGGTCTCTGTTTTGCTGGTGGCCATGTGCTCTGCTGCATGATCTTTCTTAGATCTCATGGTCATGGGAAATTTGAAGGTCTAGCGGTTGATTGACTGAGGCGCGATTATGTACGTTCTCCAAACACCAGGTCTGACCCAGGAATGCGGAGCTCCTAAAGGGACGGAGGGGGCGGGGGAGGAAGGGCAGGAGGCATGAATCTTGGGATCGGGACCTCTCGGTCCGTGTGCAGGGGCAGGAGGACCTTGGGACAAAGCGGCGCCGAGGTCCTGAGTCGCGGTGCCTCAACGCTCTGTGGCTCTTCACACAATGCCCACCTCACTGCTGCGCGATCCACCGAGTGCTGAATGCGACCACCATTTCCAATGAAAATAAATTCCCCCAACCACGTTCAAAGGTCCTCTCACTTCCTACTTCATCAGACCCCGAGGAACCTCAGAGCCCCGGTGTAGATGGAATCACTGGCCGTGCAAATGCTTTTATTCGAATGGGTCCCATTCTCACTGAACCTCTAATCCCCCCAGTGGACTGCCAGCACTTGCAAGCCCCAGCTCTGGGTTTTATCCAATTTAAAGGAAAGCGGAATGGTACTTGCCTCCGGCACTTAAATGATGGGAAATTATCATCAGGCAGTCAGGGGCCTGTGGAGCTAGTGCCTGGCAGGGTCTTCAAAACACAAGGGGAACAGCAAAGAGGCAGTACTATCAGGGGACAAGGGGCTGAATAATTCAGAGCTGCCTCGTCTGTTCTAAAAGGCAAGATGCTCTCGCGCACAGGACACAGGCCTTGACATGTGGGGTCTATTCGGATTCCTGCTCTATTAACACATTCAGTTTGTGGAGGAGAGACTAGAATGACAATGGGACGTCCACGGGTCAGCAAGTATTGTTTCAGAAAAGATACTTTTCGATCTTTTCAGAAAAGACTGCCATTTATCCCTAAAAAGCAGACTGAAGTAAAATGTGGAAAGGCCTGGTTTGGGCTGGGTAAGGTGAGCTCCGTCCTACGCTAATGCTCGGGGAAGATGGGCTGTGTCCCTGAGGGGCTATCCCTCTAGCCGGCCTTTGCCCATCCACTCAGCACAGAGGGGTGAAGCACCCACTTGGGTCTCAGGCTCTAGGCTAGGAACTGGGGGAGGAGGCCCAGGGAAGAAACTCAGGCCCTTCGGGTGCTCAGTGTGTCTGGGAGGTGGTTGATGTGCCAGCAGTGCCAGGAGCCACGTGAGAAGTGCTCTGCTAGACCCAGAGCAAGCTTGTGCAGGAGCTCACGGGAGGAGACACTCACTCTGCCTGGGGAGGAAAGCGAAGGCTCTTAGCAAACGGGATATGTGATTTGAGTCCTAAAGGCCATGCTGGACTTGCTGGCAGAAAAGGGGGAGATGGCATCTGAAACCAAGAGAATATCGTGTGCAAGGCGCAGTGGTGAGAAAAAGCACACTTCCTCCTAGCGAGGAGGCCAACATGTGTGTGGGGAAGGGCGCACAAAGACGCAGTTGGCACCTGGGTGTCCGACATCCTGCCTACGAAGGGACTGAAATTGTGTCTAAAAGTCAAGGCGGGCATAGAAGATTCGGGGAGCAAGGGCCATTAGAGCAAATCTGAATTCCAGAGAGAAGTCTTTTCTGGCTACAGTGTGGTGGGCAGATTATAGAAGAGAGGTACTGGGGTGGGCGGTGGGGGGATGGGGAGACAGCTGAGAGGCTACTGGGAACATCTGAGTGAAACTGATGACGGTCTAAACCCCAGAGGCAACTGGCTGGTTGTGGGGAGGCGGGGGAGAGAGAACCATCACGGGAGCATGGCCAGATCGGGGAAACATGAGAAAGTGGTTGTGGGGGGAGACTGCTTAGTGCAGGTCTGGACACTCTACACCCGAGATGTCTGGGGCTGGAGAGAAGTTGGGGGTGCGCATCTCAGGCTGTAGCTACGGCTCTGGGGCCATGGGTGTGGGTGACACTGTCCAGGAGGAAACGTGAAGTGAAAAGAGCCAAGGAATATCAAGAGAATCATAGAATATCAAGAAAGAGGAATGGAAGAGGGATGGAGAGGAACAGCAGGTCCCACAGCAGTCTCGGGGGAGAGCTTCCAGAGCAAGGCCATGGTCAGCACATGCGTCGCTCGCTGCTATGACGAAAATGCCCAAGGATCCTTTTGGCTATGACAGTACGATACTCTTCTGGGAATTGATCAAAAGCAGCTTCTGTGAGGTGGTGGGGCCCAAACACTAAATTATAGAGTGGGGGAGTTACAGGGAGAGCAGCAGGAGAGAGGAGAAATGGACACGACTATCTCAAGAAGATTCACTGTCAAGGGCGGGAGGGGAATATGAAAAGCTCAGTGGAGTCAGGGGCAGAGAATGAGAAGGCAGAGTCTGTCTTTTCCAGTCTTTTCTTTTCCATACAGCTTTTCCAACGACCTGTGAAACTCAGATGAGAGTCACAGGCGGAGGCAAGGAGAGAGGAGGCAAGTGTACCCACACTACCTACGGGACACGAAAATGAACCAAAAGGACTCCTGCCCTCAGCGAGCTTTCGATCCATCATGGCGGCTCATGTGCACAAAGAAAGAAGAACAAACTGGCCAGCATTAGGAAAGGCCCCCAGACAGAGCACAACGGGCATTCAGATGGACCTCCGATGCAGGGAGGTCTGGGGCAGGAGCTCTGGGAGCTTCTGCAAGAACAGAAATCATTCTGCCCTAAAGCTGGAAAGGGCCCAGGGAGCATCCAGCCCAATGCTCTCCATTTCTACGTCTGAAGGGAGGCCTGACTTCACTAAGGACACACACAACTGACTAACGCCAGAGCTGGGAATCAAAACTCTAAGCTCTCGCCCTTTAACCCAGGGCCGCTGACCCGCAGATCACAGTGCTTCTCTGCTAACCGCCCGACACGGGACTTGGACACATGAGCCTATGATGGAGGGTGCAGGCCCCACCCACTGAAGATGCTGCTATCCCCCATCGGGCAGAGGTCGCCCTCCCTCCTCTGACCTCCCCGAACCCGTTATCCATGCAGCTCTGTGACAAGTATTACTCTAAGACATGACTCTTGGTTTTCCTGCAGCTGCCAGGAGACCCAGCTCTGTTCCTGACCCGAGACTGTCCCAAAGGCTCTGGATAGAAGATCAGTAGTAAGAACTCGGCCATCACTCCTGCAGACTTGAACTCCACTGTGGTCTTCCCCCGGCCCTGAGAGAGGGAAAGTCAGCTGCACAAATCTGGGCTGTCAGAGCATGGCGAATTCTGAATGGGCAGTCGCCCCCCCCCTTCAGGTATGTTCTGAAGACTACGGAGGTCATGTGTGTAAAGCACCGTGACCTTCTTGGAGAAAGGTATTCGATCAGTACTGTATTAAGAATGGCTCCTTGTCAGTAACAGTTCATTTGAGTCATGGTTTTACGGGATGTAAACATCAAGAAGACCGAAAAAAACCACCACCACCACCACCACCAACAACAACCAAAAAACCTAGTTTGGAGGAATTGTTCTTGTAATGGTCTTTCATCTTCTTAAATCTCATGAGTCCAAAGAAGTTTGGGAGATTTGTTGAGTGGAGCGAGAAAGTGATTGGAAAGGAGCCCACATTCTAGCGGAAAGTTTCAAGGTGTAATAAAGAGATTCCCTTCCTACCACAGGAAATGGTTTCAAAGATGTGATGCACCCGGACTAGCACTACGTGTTTGTTCACTGATTTCTTCGTTTACCAGACGCCCTGTTAGATGCTGTGAACACATGGATGGAAGAGTCTGGACCCACTGGAGCTTATAATATGGTGGGGGCGACAGACACATCAGTGGCACACGCACACTGAGACCTGTGGTGTGGGGACTCAGAGATGCCGGACGCACACCAGGGAGGGCAAGCCAGAGAAGGTGCGTGAGCCCAAGCGGTGTTCGAGTTCAATCCTGAAGGAATCCTAATGCTCCAGGACCTGAGGGAAGGATGTCTCAGAGCAGAGAACACGCACCCAAGACACAGAACAAGAGAAAACCAGCCATGCTGCTACAAGAGAAGAGGGTGACAGCCTTCTAACCAAGAGAAGGAGGAACAGAAGTCACTAAAGGAGGTCACTTACCAAAGACGAAATACCTAAAGCACGACAAGGCTAAGAACGAGGGACGTGTTGGGGGAGTGGAGAATTTCAAGATGCAAACTCAAGCTTGAATGAAAACTCAGAACCAGACTGACGGCCAGCAGCACACCTCCACCACATAGAGAGCTAAACATGAGAGACCGGGATGCTCTGACTGCTGCTTCTCTAGACTGTGTCTGATGGGGGAAAGTGGCTGCTCCTGCCGCCTGAGGGGACGGGGGTGTTTGGGGGGGCCCAGAGCCTCTGCTCTGCACCTGGAGGTCCCAGATGACAACTGCAGATCAGAGGAAGGGCCTGGGAATTCGGCCGTCAGGCTTCCAATCCCCTCATGCCTCACCCATCCTAAGGCAACGTCAGAGTCGGGCTCGAGGGTGGTTCCCTAGAAGAGGACAATCTT